CAACCAATGAATCGTAACCTTGAGGAACGGAAAGCAAAAGCCATGACCATTGGTGACATGACCTTAGCATTTGAGCGTTTCATAGCGCCCGCCTAGCTCAATCGGATAGAGCGTCAGACTCTTATGACCGATTGGTTTAGTGGTGATCTGAAGGCTGCGAGTTCGACCCTCGCGGTGGGCTAATGGAGCGACAAGGTGATACTTTTTACCATTGATTCCCATTGAGAAGAAGCATTAGCCGAGGCGTAAGTCACGTGTCTGCGATGCTCTCGATGGTCAAGTTACTACTGGCGTCGATATACATCATCTTCGGGACTCTCACTTCCTCACATGCTGAGCGAGAGCCGCACCAATATATGAAGAACTCGAGGAAAAACTTGAAAGAGTTGACCGCCATCAGTAAGAGCGCTTAGTTGTGGAATGCGCGCCATCCACTCAAGCGCTGGGTCAACTCTTCCCTAAACGATATCGGAATGCGATCCTGCAGGAACTCGCGATTGGCGCGAATTTATCATTTGCTCATCGTTTTCATGCTCACGTCCAAGTACAGGAAGGCCGTACAAGGCAATCCGAACAACTTCTCGCACCCCACAGCCTCGCCGGTCTAGCACTATCTTGAATTGTTCTGTAAGTCGCTCACTGCCTGTCACAGAGATGGCCAATGTATGCGTTCTTGAGATATTGTCATTTCCATCGGTTTCCCTCTTTGTTGGACACCCCTCAATAAGCTCTAGCCGATCGCTTGATTACCCCCTTAATGCTGTTAGTACTATGTTTGAAAACCGGTGGGATCGACCTCCGTATGCGTTTGTAGCTCACTCGAATGCCCGTATCCTAGGCGTATACAACACCAACGGACGATGACCTAGGTGCCCTCGGGGCCTCGTATCTGCTCCCATAATGACAGACAGCACGGCACGTAAATTTCAAGCGTTTCACGGCTGCGTTTCTTGTGTGCACACACGCAACAGCCTGCTCCCCACTACTGAGGTGACTGCCTTATGCGTTCGCGCTCTCGTCGGGGCCAGCATGCCGCACGCTCGCTCAACCTGATCATGCCGATCTCCTAGCGGTACGACCCCCCTTTGCCTCGCAGAAACCGTCGACAAAGTACGGCTATGCTAGAGCCTTCAGCAGACGCGATGGACCTCCACGCCATGATACGCGACGTGTTTGTCACGTGCTGCGAATTCGAGCAGCTGTAAGCTGTGTACGCACGTAAGAAGCATGTTTACATACCTTGCGATTCTCGTAAAAGTGCGAGCGATTTGCTTTCTGTAACTCCGTGGTCCGCTCCCTTCAAGTCGCTTCAGCGCTGATGTGATTCCACAGGCTTGCTGCGAACTGGCAGAAACTGAACTCGACCTATACCTGTCCGGTCCGGTGACCCCGGTGCTGGTGATGATGGAGCAATCCAGGCGTGTTTCCTCATCTGCGGACACGCAGCCTCGTGGAGGAGGATCCCATCTTCTCTTCGCACACTATTCGCATTGGCGCAGCTCTCGAACGTTCCCCAGCCGTGTTCAACCGTCCAATATGCCAGACTCGAACCCCGGCCGCTCTCGGCTGCAGTTGGGCGGGCATCTGCAGAGCTAGTCCTGCTTCCAGCTCCAGCGTCCTTCAGCTTCAGGCGTTCACCCGTCATGATGACGCGGGGATGCGTTTCATGCTCACTACTGGGGGGAACTCAAGCCGAGTGGCTCACTTGTGGCGGTAGGACCATCGTCGCGCACTGGCCGTGCGGACTCGGCATGCCGCGGGCCCAAGCGTGCGATCCCAGGACCTGAAGGCCACGGCATCCTGCGACACGCAGACGGAGGCTGTCTAGCGTTTCAATAACGTCTTCAACACCTCTCCGATGCCGCGGAGCGGCCCCTCTCGGCGTCTTGTTCCTCGACTGAGTAAGAGGCGTGGCCGTACTCGGCGAATCCTCTCCTTTAATCTCAATCGAAGGCTGATCCGGACACGCGCCTTCCCCGCGAGTCCGGGTTTTTTGGCGATCTAGATTATTCTCCTCGTGGGGCCGTCCCATGTCTGATTATGGTGTCGGGCCAGGGCCCTGCACGCTATACAAGTGGCGTGCATTGTCCATCGTTGGATTCCCCCTTCTCGCACTCTGCTCCTCGTTGACTTAGACTCCTCGCGCGTTCCTCCCCCTCCGCTCTTTCGCTCCCTTCCCCCCTCACGCCCCGCACCTGCGACGTGATGCTGTTCCCGAGCCTTACGTCCATCCCGGTCCTCTTGCTCTCGCTTTTCCTCCTCGTCGCTCATTCTCCTGCCTCAGCTCTGAGTATACCTCCAAGCTTGAAGTCTCCCCCACGTGTGAAGCCGCTCCGCGGACCCGATCAAGACCTTTGGACAAATGCCCAACGCCTCGCGGTAGGCCTGCCCCCGCGTGCGCCTCGCACCTTCAAGCGGGCGACCTCGACGAACCCGCTCGAACCTGCGCAAGTCAAACGTTCCGCGCCCAGTCCTAGTGCGAGTCCGTTTGCGTATGCCAAGACCAGACCGTATGTCCTCCGTTGTTCATAGGTACGGCCTTCTATGCTCACGGACTACGATGCTGCAGTGCGGTCGAGACGGCGTACTCGGGACGCATCGTCGCGCGCTACGCCGGCTCCGAAATTCCAGCGGGCATCGTGCGGGCCTCCTCGTCCGGTGTGTGAGTGTCCAGCATCTGAATCTCTCGTCCCCGATCGCAGCATCGCTAATCGCGAGCGCCCCCGTGCCTGATTTTCATCTATCGCTATGCTCCCCGCGCTGGATGCGCTGCTGCAGCTCCCTTGGCGGTGACGAAGACGGCGCGCACGTTGCGTTCACGACGTCCGGATCGAGAGCGCTGTTCAGCATCAGCAACCTCGACTCGGTCGTAACGGTGCGTCTCGCGTGCGGTTGCAAACGAGATGATCGCTGAATCTCATCATACACTGTTCTTGATGTGATTACTAGGCGAAAAGTGAGACTGCCGCGTCCACCCAAGCACCCGCCGCATTCATCGGAGCATCTGGGACGTCCCCACTAGGCGCCGACTCACCCAAGTACGTCCGCCCTTCTCCCGCCCATCAATACCTAGTAGAAAGTGAACTCACCGGTGGCTCTGCTTCTCCTTCCTCGCTTTGCGTGGATAGCGCGGTCGTCCTTGCCAATGTCCAACAGAGTAAGTGTCGCATATCAGTTCTTGCCCTGGCTCTTCGCAGCGCGCGCGCGCTCGCGACCCTGTATCGTGCGGGCGCCGGGCTGTGGCGCCCACGCCGCGGCCCCCTGAGCCTTCTCACAAGCTCGGGGGGAGGGGTTCGGCCTCGGTCGCCCTGGCGCGCGTCACCTGTGTGTCGCTGAGCGCAGTGACGCGCGGGGGTGGCGCACGCGCCAAAGGCACGCGCTCCGATCGTGCCCCTGCTCTACGCTCCGTCCAATATTGCACCTGACGCTAACCTGCCCTCCTGCAGCGACGGCGCACGCACGGCCAGCCACGGCCGGGGGCGAGTCCACGATCTGGACGTTCGACGCGCCGACGCAGTCTCTCGTTGGTACGTCACCTCATCATTGTGGGTGGGGATACTCTGCTGAACGGTCTGCGGTGGCGGCGTGTAGCGCACTGGGTGAACCCAGACGGCTCGCATCCCCGTACGCGCGTCGCCGTGCGCGCGCGCGATGGCGTGCTCGTCCTTACCGGCGACGTGGGCGCGTATAACGAGGCGCACCCCGGCGAACCGATATACGAAGTGGTGCGTGTTTCTTCCTGGCCCAGGCTGTTCTCGCACTCTTTCTGACGGTCGCGCCATTAGACGCTTCATTTGGAAAGCACGTGAGCTCGGAGCTCCTGCGGCAGACGACGACGATCACGTCCCCGCTCGGCAGATATCCAAACCCCCGCAAAACCCACTTACCTGTCGATCGGAAGAGCAAGGAACGAACGAAAGCCCGAAGACGAGAGGCCGCCTGCGGCAACGACAATACAGAAGACACGACGACGAAATTGAAATACGACGATGTACGACAAGAAGCCTACGATGACGGACGTCCATACCCGTCCGCCCGCTTGACCCCGCCTCGTTCAGACTCCCGCGCTTCGACCAACGGGCGTGTGCAATGGACGACGAGCACCTGGTCACGGGCACGGGTATGTGCACCCGTCTCAACCTCCCTGTAGAGAATACGTAGTACTGGACTTTGTGCGCTATCTGCGGTACTCTATCCCGGAGACTCTTCCCCTTCCCGTCTCCCTTATTATTCCCTATCGCTATTCCCGTCTTTACTATCTATTCCTTCCGCTTGTCTTTCCGGATCGGCGGGCGCGTCGTGTCGGCTTTGCTTCCCAGCGGACACGGCTGTTCCGCTCTTCCCGCTCGGCTTCTCCTCTTCTGCGCGTTCGACTCGTTCACTTCCGCGTCGCGTGGACGATGGACTCTCCTCCCTCCTCCTCACCTTCCCCGCCGGGCTCGGACCTATTCCCCTTTTCACCCACCTCTGGATTCTCCAACCCTGTCTTTCCCTCCGGCCGCAGTCATTGTACCCGCATCGCTGCTGGTCCTGGTTCTACATCCCTGTATGTAACACGAGGCACGCCTCGGCCCTCGGTCTTGTGTATACTCTTACTCCTACTCTTACTCCTCTCCCCCTTTTCCCTCTCAAACCCTTTACCCTTACCCCTTCGTTTCGGCTCGCGAGGTCTCGGATTCGGATTCTTATGGACTTTGGTGTTGTTTTGCTACTTGGCTCCGCCCCGGACTGTTGTTGTTGTCGCATCGAGACTGCTCCCTTTTGTTACAACTTGACGCGCAGGTACCTGGCTCGGGGACTTTGGTCCGGGCGTAATATGCTATTGTCTGTCCTCTTTGTAAACTGCATCCTAGGGACATCCTTGAGAGTGTGAAGTGCGTACGGGTCCTTGCGGACACCTCGACGCCGGTCGAGGGCCCCCGTCAGAGTAATGCGAGATTCGTGTCCTGATCGCCTACACATCCCGGTAGGCTACGTATGTTTGATGGTGAAAAAAGTGATTCCCATTAGCCGACTCGAACGACTGACCTCGTCATTGCCCTTGTAGAGGTACTAGTGACGCGCTCTACCAACTGAGCTAAACGGGAACTATTAGTTTTGCTGTAGTAAGCAGTCATGGACTGAGACCAGAGTGAGTCTTTCGACGCTAACATACGCAGTCTCGAGACGGAACGAAAGGTCAAAATGCGCGTGCAAATTAGACGGGTATGTAAGATACAGCGGCACTAGGGTATCTCGTAGCAGCGCAATGGTCGTGTATCGTACAAATATAGACGCGTTCGAGACGAGTGTTGTTCGGATCTTCGTAGGATGGTGTCCGAGCTTGCTGCTTAGTAGGTCGCTGCAGCCCTCCGACGACCGAACCCGCCTCCGAATCCTCTACGCCTTCTGCCCGTGGTGGTTCCTGTTGTCGTCCCTCCGTAACCGGCGCCCGTGGTGCCCCTGCGGCTGAAGCATCTGCAGCAGAGGATGGCGAGGATAACGTCCCAAATGGTGACGAGGACCTAAAGATGATGATAAGTCAGCATGCCTTCTCGGCGGTTAGGCCTACGGAGAGCGAACGTACCGTTACGATGGCGGAAACGATGGTTTCGATGACGTTGGCAATGGCGGAGATGATGGCGTTGATGCCTGAGCCGATAGCAGAAACGATGGATCCCTGAAGAGAAGCTATGAGCATCTTCTCGACCAGGAGTTCTCAACGATAACGTACCATGATGATGAGTTATACAAGGTCGTAAGTCGTGAAAGTCGTGAGCAGTGTGTAGTGGTAGACAAGTGAAGATGTGGTCGTAGTTTCTTGGTGGTGGATAGGCCTTGCGGCATGTTATATACCTGTGCGGGACGCCAAGGTCCGTGCAGTGACGTCGTAGCCACGCTCCCCTCATGCACCAAGGTCCGCGCCATGTCGAAGTCGGCCAGGCCCCACCGAGTGCGGCGACTCGTCATCTCGGCGGAGTGATGTCATCGTATACCAGCTCCACCACAGGCGTAAGTCCGAGCACCTTCCTTTTCCGTCTGGGTTTGTTGGTTGCTGATAAGCTGATTCTCGCTTTGTGGCGACATACTACTGGATTGGTCGAATGACGCTGTTCAGTGTTCAGTACGAGCGTGATTAAGGGAAGGCAGTCGAGACACCGAGGGAAGACCGGACAATGTGGCTGTGTCAGCCAGTTCCCAAAGCAGGAACCATAGTATTCGTACTACCGGACCCACGTGATCTGTCGATCTGTCGTAGGCGGCATGGGTTCATACGGTCCATACTATCAATCACAGCCGTCAGTATTGGGCACAAAGGCGGAGCCGGCTGCTTATAGCTGTCGGCTATAGTAGAAGGGTTCCAGCTTTCCCCAGCAGCCCGAGAGGACATAAAGAAGCCTGTGTCCGAACAGACGATACGGGAGAGGGTACAGAAACTCACCCTTTGACAATGCAACATCTTACGAGCCTGAGGGATCTTGGCGATCGAATACGAGTGGTAGGACAGCAACTGCCATTGATAACCTAGTATGAGATAGAGAGACAAAGGAGCGTGATCGAGACAAGAGACACGAGACTGAAAAGAGTGTGGGTGTGGGAGGAAACGGGGCCTATGCTACAGTAGAGTCTAGAGATATATGCGTATGCGCGAGAGAATGTGGGTGTGGGAACCATGAGCATCGTCGTCGTCGTCGTATTACAGTATCGTGCTCAAGCCTCGGCCATGAGCGCCGTCACCCAGCGGGCCACCAAGCCCGCGGCCTCCTTCGTCTTCTCCCAGTCCTCCTCGCGAACCTTCGGGCGGATGTATGCGTCGAACCTGTCCGGGTGCCACCGCAGGACCTCGGTCTTGAGGACTTCCTTCGCCGTCTTGCCTTCGATATTGGGACGGAAGGGGTAGAGCAAGAACTCGCGAACCCGCTCGTGCGTCATGTGTGCCGGATCGACATGCTCGTCGGCGAAGACGGGGAATGGGAACTCGTGGAAGCCGACGATGTTCTTTAGGCCCTTGTTGTTCTTGAGCTCGGCCCACTTGCGCTCGTATAGCGCGCAGAGCTCGCGCGCCTTGGTATGGATCTCCTCCGCCTGTCGGGCAGCCTCCTCGCGCGCGAGGCGCTCCTGCTCCTCCTTCGCGCGCCGAGCGGCCTCCTCCGCTGCCCTGGCTGCCCGCTCCTGTTCCTCTCGCTCCTGCCGCAGGCGCTCCTGCTCCTGGCGCTCCCGCTCTATGGCCTCCCAACGCTTCCGCATCTCCTCCTCCTGACGGCGCTGCGCCTCGATTTCGGCGAGGTGGCGGAGGTGGGCCTGACGGAGGGCCTCCAGGTGAGCTTGACGCTCGGCCTCCTCGATCTGGCGACGGCGGAGCTCTTCCGCCTCGGCCTGCTTGCGGCGGCGCTCTTCCTCCTCCCTCATACGCCGCTCGCGAAGACGCTGCTGCCTCTCCTTCTGGAGGGCCTCGCGGAGGAGAGCCTCCCTGCGGGCCTTCTCCTCGGCCTCCCGCGCCGCCCTCTCGCGCTCCTCCTCCTCACGGCGGCGCTGCTCCTCCCTCTCGCGCTCGAGGCGCTCCTGCTCCTCCCGCGCCGCCCGCTCCGCCCGCATGCGGCGGACGTTCTCCTTGCCCCGCGCGAGCATCTCCTGCATGCGGTCGCGCTTCGGCGCCTTCGCCATCGCGCGCTCGACGACGGCCGCCTCGCGGTGGTAGCACTCGCGCATGATCCCGTCCGCGCGGATCTTCGAGAGCCGCTGGAGCATGAGCTGGTCCGCCTCCGAGAGCGGGCCGAGCGCCTTGAGCTGCTCGACGTACGGCTGCGCCGCGTCGTCGCAGTCGATGTAGATCTGGTCGCCGACGAGCCGGGGGAGCCGGTTCGGCTTGGGCGGCGGGCCGTTCAGGTAGTGCATCTTCTTGAACTCCTCGGCGGTCGGGTAGTCGGTGCCCTCGGAGTAGGGCCTGCCCCGGCGGCGGTGGGGGGTAGGCGTGTCGGGGCCGGCGGCGTTCTGGTTTGGGGCCTGGTTCCGGTTCTGCATCTGCGCGTGGCGGATGCCTTGGATGTCGAAGGGCGAGGGCGGAGGCGCAGGGAACGGCTTGCGGGGGTGCGATGGTGGTTGCTTGGTCTGGCCGTAAGGGCGCTTGTTCACCGGGATTTGCACGGCCGCCGCTCGGCGTTGTGGTGAGAAGAACATTGCGACTGGAATGTAGAAAGAAGGTCTAGGAAGAGAGTGTCTCGAGTATCAAGGGATCGTGGTGGATGAATAGGTGTATGGAAGGGACGGGGTGAGAGAGGGTCGGATCGTCTTGGTTGTGGTTGTGTTGAAAAGTGAGAAATCTTGGTCGAATGCGTTTGTCGATTGTCGGTTGTTGATTGTCGATTGTTGAATGTTCACGTGAGCCAAACTTGCGGCTACTTGCGGGCGAAACGCGCCGGGGGGGCTGTCGAGGTCGCCCACGGGGGAGAGACGGTGGTAGTGGTAGGAGGGAAAGGCGAGCGGCCAGCGCAAAGCTGGACTTTATGGCTTTGCGACCTCGGCTAGCGGACGGCGGCCGCGGAGTTTTTGGTGTCGTCCAATCACGAGCCCTCGTGTGCGTGACTCCCATTGTTCAGTCTGGGCGATTTGGCGCGATTCGCGTAGGAGGGGGCGATTGTCGCCTAAACGCGATTTGGGGTGACGCGGCCGACTTGGCGCCTGTGCGCTTGAGCCCCGGATTGACCACTCCAACATCCGTTCGGGAGGTACATTATTCCCCCCTCCCTCGTCACTGACCACTCCGTATACACCTAAACGGGTCTGTTGCATACCGCCCACCAGTGGGCCCCGTGGGATGGACGACGACGAGGGTCATTCGGGAAGGAGTCTGGCATCCGGCACGAAAACGGGTCGGTTAGCGGGTGAAGAGCTTTCGCAACCCGTCGGACGTACCCCGAATTCGTCGCATTGTCCGCTCCAGGCCGCCAGCCCGGGGTGCTGTCCAGACCATTGTGCGGCGCTCTTCACTCGAAGCAATGCGGCAGCCACCGCACATCCTGCACGCTTGGTCCAATTGTGCATCGCTCGCCGCATTCGCACAGACAATGCAAGCGCATGTCTGACCTGCAGAGGTCTTTGAGGTAGAAGGCCACAGAAGGAGCCTGTGGTCGACGAAGCGCCACCCCGGTGAGGACTCTCTATTTTGCGGCGCATCTTGACAGCATTGGGTGCGAAAGGGCCAAAGAGGCATCTGATACCATCCGTAGCGTCAAAGGAATCGCAAACGGTGGCACCCTTGATGCCATGGCTTCTTGGAGTTGGTGTGCAACGGCGTCAGGCGCAGCGGGAGTTCGTCCTCACAAAGTGGCGAGGTTTCAATCTGTCCGTATCCCATGAACCCTTGTAAAGGGTGAAGGCCGGGTCAAAGCGGTGAGAGGGCTTGGCTTGTAATGTTGATGGCGGTACTTCTGCCTTCGTCATGTTCGTGCTGAGCTCTTTGACAGGTGGCCAGGTACATCCAAGCTGCTGTTCTTCCTCATTGGACGAGGTTCATCGGACCTATACTCCTCAGCATCTACGACGTGCCGACGCGAGCATATGCAGAGCACTTACAAAGCGATTCCCTTACTCCGGTGTGATTGTCGACGTCGTATAAGATTATTTCGCGGATTGGGGTCCTCAGTAGTAGCAACACCCTAAAACACCATCAAGGCCGCATTTTCTACATGCGCACCACCTTGCACCGCATATACCTTCAGATGAAGGGTTGGTCCGAACAACTCATGTCGTGACGTGGCTGTCGGTCAAAGCGCCAGAGGTGAAGGCTTGAAACGCAGAACCAAGTGCGTTCAAGGATGGTCAATCCAGGTGTAAGATCAGAGACACGCAGTGGGCACAATTTTTTCGCAGAGGACAGGCAAACAGATGCAGTAGAAATCAAACGGTCCCTCAACTCATTTCGTTGCACGAACTACGTGCTTTTCCCGGGTGGGAAGTCTTAGACGCCGGTGGTATCTCAATGCCAAACAATTGGAACTAGCGCCCATTCTCTCTCTATTCCTACGTCGACGATGGTTATGGCACAAACGGGCACAGACAAAGCGGACGCCATGGCGTCCGAATAGCGGGTCAAAGTTTTCTGGTATCC